TCAGATGTCCAGGGAATGGAAAGTAGCACTCAATCCAACGATTGTGGTTATAGCCTCATGGCACTGGCGACTTCATTTTATGAAGGGATGAAAATAGAGGTCTATGTCCTTTAGTCAGTTCTGTTATTCTGTCGCATATTAAATGTTCACTATGCGCTTTTATTTTCTTTCATATTCTTTCGCATTCATATGGTGAATAATGCTGGAGTTGATGTTGCATACTTCATGATTCTTTACCGCAGTTGGGCTACACCGACTTAACTCTAAACCCGATATTTTTGCTCTGGATAAAAAGTAAACTATTTCATTTGATTTGCGCAGTTCTGTTATTCTGCTGCATATTCTGTGTCAATTTCGCGTGTTTGTTTCCCATTAAATTGTGTTGGCTGTTTGATATCCCCGGTGTGGCTGCGCTTGATGTGAATTTTGACAAGGTGCCTAGTTGTCTAACCCCCTCCACCTAGATTACTGGCTCAAAGAGACTGTGAAACGATGCTGGGGAGACGGGGTGCACCGTCCTCGTGGCCGTGTTAGGCTCAAAGAGTGGTTGCATCCAACGTGGAGCGGACTACGCCCTAGTCAGCACTTTGTGCACCTATGGTGCGCATAATTCCAAAATACATAGACAGGAATGCTGCTGCTGTGCATGTTGAAGGAATATGGGCTGCACCCGTTGTTGAAACGTAACTCCCATCCACACGCCACCCGGACTTATACTTGGGGTTTACATTGGATATGGGGTTTGTGGATGGAGCTGTGGGTGGTGTAGCGCAAGCCAACTATGGTCCCTCTGTAGCCGCAGGCGTCCTGTGGATGGCCGCAGTGACAGGCAAATCCAGAACCGGATGCTGCGAACTATATGTAGACGTCCACCATTAATTTAACAAATGCTTCGTCGAATTAGAGAACAATCAATATGGTGGGGTTAGAAATCGAAGAATGGCTCCAACCGAATTGGTCAACGATTAGAGATTCCACAGACTCAGTCGGCTGGTCCTCAAAGCTGGGGAGTTCGAACCGGGGTAAAATACTACTCCTTTACAAGTAAATCACCTTGTGGATAGCTGCAGTACGCCTAAGGCCGTATAGTTAGTTTTTTCTTTAGCTAAATACGTTCGGTGAAACCCTAGTTACCTAATGCAACAGTAGCTATCGCATTATACTTCAGCTACATCCTGCATCGGCAGTGTAGCGACTTCAAAATATTTGTCATACCTGATACATGCAGTAAGGGGTACATATAAAAACAGGCTAGTACAGACAAGAATGTGCTGTCATACATGAGAAACGGAAATTTGCAGCTTCCTTTCTCCCCCAACCGCTGGTAGTACCATGCTCAATCCGCACTGTTAACTTCGCCGTAATGCTCAGGGTAACAAGCAGCAACTGCAGTTAGACTGAAGCCATGCCTACTGCACGCTATCGCAGCACCCGATAGTTTGCTGTCATCGTAAACTTACATTGAGCCACATGGCCCCATTTTCTCGGCTGGTCACAATGCTTGTGTCCGAGTACAGAAAGGACGGAAAGGTAAGGAAGCGGGATACTTAGGGAGTTCGTTGTACTGCGAATGTGAATCTAGAATACACAACTATGGCGATCTTAAGAGGTTAACTGCGCATCCTATACTCTTTCGCCATTGTCTGTACAAGTACGGAGATGTTAGTGTAGCAAGTGCTGGTCAGGTTAAAGTAATTATGGTTTCCCTTCACAAGGCAAGTTGGGCGGACTCTTGTGAAGCATTATCCGTGTAACTTCTCTTTGATGAAATCGACCGGAATTGTCACAGTTGATATCGATGGACACTAGTCGCAAGCAGTTGGCAATTATACCATGTGGCACTTGTTAGCAAATGCCGCAAGCATTACCGAGTAACTACTGCAATGTTCCTTAATCATATTTTAGTACCAGTCCATCTGCAGCTTTGCGCCCATGTACGATAACAACTAAAAGAGTGTGGCAACGAATGTTAGATTCTGAGATACATTTCCCTGAAGGAGTGAGATAAAAGATAAATTAAGCGCAAGCAGATAATTTATGAAAAGTTGTCCCGATAAATACCTATTTCATCGTCTCTGCTTGGGATTACAATCAACACTAAGATGGAAAATCACAAGCCACTTCCAAGCCTCACCCCATTAGAGTCCGATTGGCACAGGTTGTATCTTAGTTACACCGCTTTTAGACACAGTGAGCGCCGAAATGCCACTTGGCATCCTCCTGAAGCTGGCCAGCGATGGACCCAAATTGACCACATAGCCATAAGTTACAGGTGAAGTGGTTCCATCCTGGATTGCCGCTCGCTCTGGAATACCTGCGCCGACTCTGATCATGCCTTGGCATGCTGTCGTTTCTCCATGAACTTTACCGGGAGGCGCAAAAAGCATCTCCCCCGATTGGCAACTAAGAAATCATCTCAGCCTTCGGTCAGGCAAGCCTACCAAGATGAACTGCACACCGACCATTCACTCTCCTATCATAATGACACAGAGCTTCAGTGGAATAGGATCTCGGCCGCCATGCACGATGCAGGAGCATTTATTTGTGGCACTATCAATCGTCACTGCACCAATCGCTGGATATCCGAGAGGTCAGTGAACTCGTTGGAATTCAGAATAAAACTCTAAGCTGGCTCTGAGCACAATGTGACCAGACAGACAATTAGGCGCGAACGAAAACGGAGTCTGAGTGCTGACAAGGAAGACTGGTGGACCAGTCGGGGTCAAGAAATGGAGGAGGCAGGAGCAGCACGCAATTATCGCTAGCTCTTTTAGCTGATCCGCTTCACTGGCCCTAGGTAACGAGGCGTCAGTGTGACAATCAGAGACAGCGCGGGTGCATCGATTCACAATAAGTAGCGCCGTATGGCTCGTTGGGCGGGACACATTCAAGATCAGTTCAGCTGACCACTTGCTCCCGGACCTCTTCCTACTCAGATGATGAAGGACGAGCCATGGACGGTTAGTTTAGAGCTTCCGTCGGAGGCTGTAGTCCGAAACGCGATCACAGCCATCAATCGTTTCCTTGCCGCTGGCTCAGATTTCGTCCCACCTGCACTATTTTATGATGGAGGTGGGGTCCTCTGCAAAGCACTGACCTCCCTATTCGAACGTGTCTGGAAGCGAATGTTCCGACTAACTGGAGTGAATTGATTATAGTGGCAATGTACAAGAAGGGCAGTCGCACACTGTTCTAACCACAGGGGTATTAACCTAACGCCAGTTGTGACAAAATTACTGGCCCAGATTCTCGTTCGTCGCCTCACTGTGGAACGGGAATCTCGGATTAGGGAAGTGCAGACAGGTTTTCGCTCAGGACATGGCTGTATAAACCATATATTCACTTTGCGACAGGTGTTACAGCAGTGCCACGCATACCGCAGACCGACAATAGATGTGTTCTTCACAACAAGAGTGCGTTCGATTCAGCCGATCGATGCATTCGGTTCGAAGTGTTCCCACGAAATATGTTAGTTTGTTACATGCTCTACACTCGAAGACTAGAGGCCGCGTCAGGCTAAAAGGTGACCTGTCGAATACCTTTCCGACAACAAGTGCCGTTCGTCAGGGTTGACCGATTTCCGCCTTTGTCCAACTTCGACGTGGACTCCATCTTGGAGTGTGCCCTTACAGAATCTCACGATGTAGGCGTCGAAGTCCTGCCTGGTGAAAGGCTAGTTGATGTTGATTATGCGGACGAGATCGTCATGCTTTTTAACGATGTTGGGGTGGCCCAAGCAACTCTGAATAGCCTCTTTAGAGTGGTCCCATTATTTGGTATGCGCTTCGCACCTACAAAATGCAGTGTTGCTGCATGACCACCAGCCACTTCACCCATGATAATGAGGATCCCAAGGTGGTTGATCGATTCACTTACATTGGCAACTGCAACAGCAATGATGGGCGCATAGAAACTGAAGTCAGTTCACGCATTGCAAACGCCAGAACGATCTTCTTGAAGCTGCGGCATCTATGGCGACAGGAGTTTCCCTCCGTCTGAAAGACCCTGTTTACAAGGCTACAGTGAGGGCCGTCCTGCTCTATGGGAATGAGACTTCGCCCCCCCAGTCTGAAGCGCCTCCAAGTCTTCGATCACTGATGTCTTCGGAGCATTGCTAGTGTCGGCTGGCACCAACATGTCCGCAACGATGATATGCGTGGGCGAGAAGTAAGCAGGGATAACCAAGCTAGTTCCTTAAGACACCAGATAGCACGGAATAAGTTGCGTTGGCATGGGCACGTATTAAGTCTGCCCGGTCCCCGCTTATTGAGAAGCGCCCTGTTTTGTCTGCCAGAGATATGGTGGCGCAAGACTCGAGGTGGACAGAAGTTGACTTGGTAGCGGGAAATGAAGTCACTGGCGACCAAACTGGATACCGTCGGTCCGTCTGGTCTTCTGGGCTGGAGTCCACGTGACCGGTCTACAGGACATGGCCCGCAGTCGACACCAGTGGCGCGTCTCCTGGTTGGACTGTCGGTTTAAAGTGTGTTCGGTGTTGAGTTAGCTGTGGGGTAATGGCTAATTATGACGCGGGGCAGTGAAAGCCGCAAGGAAGCTGTCTCGCCAATGTTGCCGTAACTTTGCACCATATACAGCTGTTTGTGACGGTATGTTGTTGACAAAAGGTGTAGGCGCCTTAACCCTGAATGTTTGTTTAGGGCATTAAGCTTTTCAGGTAAGTCCCCCTTCTCTCCTTCGTCTTTTACTTTATTTCATAGGTCCTCATGGTTGTATGATAGCGAAGCATCAGTTTAATTGGGTGCTGTACTGCTGTTGTTGATGATGATGTTCTAAGGTTCGAGCGTGAACTGCCTGGACGCTGGCACGCACTGCCTGCTTCCGGAAAGGCAAGCATAAAGCATCACAAATAAAGACTAATTGGAGCAATGGTTTGTAACAGGTATAAAACAAATTCTTGACAAGTCCCGTAGGATGGTTAGGGTTAAAATTACAAGGTAAAGGCACAGTGTCAATAAAAATACACGCAAGATACGACTCACCGAGATCTTTGCAGCAGCATCGGTATATTCTTGAATGGAGCTTGAGGTGATTATGACGCCGTCCAGTGTTCGCTTTGCACTATTACCATCATTTGATGCTTGATGGGCTACATCACATCATGTAAATGTATCAAAGTATCGTTACGGCGTTTTTTGAATAGGGATAAGGTAACGACATTCACTACATGCGCCGGAATGGCATTCCAGGGCTGCCGGTCAGAAAGAGAAAACGTTTAGTCGACATTCCAGTCTGTAGGACTGCGTGGCTAGCTTAAACTGATGACTAATTAGAGATGTGTTTTGGCCGAGTTTGAAACGATGACGTTGGATCCGATGCACCATTATGAGACTGCCCCACAGACGCGGATAACGTCCACTCTACAATTTTAGAGTTTGCAGTCTGCGTTGGGAGGGAAGGTGGGATAAAATTTTGAGGTTTTTCGTCGCCCTGCGTTGTACAGTATTGAGTGCGGTGGGGTGCACTTGCTCCAAGGTTGCCACGCTTGGACAGTGTATTTTGCGTGCGGTCTCAGGTACGCACCAAGTATTGGTGCAAATATCGTGGCGTCGAACTTCCCAAAGGATTTACGAAGCAGGCTGAAGTGCCGATTTGCTTCCGTTGGTGCCTTTGCAGTCGGCCTTAAGCATCCAAGGGCATGTTGCACGGGCACGCCAAGATTGCAATCAGGAGAGGCGTGCTGCAGAATTTGTGGACTTAGAAGGTAATCGTGAGTGTGTCTAGGAATTTGCACTCGGCGACGGTAAACTGGAGCATGTACCCGATGGACAATGTGTGCGTTTTATCCAGGTCATGTTGTAGGGCTGTATGATCCACTATTGCATTGGTAGCACGCTATCTTTAGATCATTGGCAAGTAGCAGGAAGTTTGAAGAGAGCACCCTCGCGAGATCATTTATGAAGACCAGGAACAGGCGAGGCCCGAGCCCTGAGGTACGTCGCACTGAACTTCGGTAGGTTCGAATAGGGTACTGCGAACCCCCAAATTCAGGTGACGATGGACGAGAAAGTCGCCTATCCAACCCACAAGGGGATCGCCGATTCCATAATTCCAAAGCTTGTAAAGTAGAATGCGATGGTCCAGACGGTCGAATGCCTTAGGGAAATTCAAGTAGGCGGCATTTACTCCTACACTGGCCACCACAGATTCCGTCCAACATACACGACCTATCATCAGGTTAGTAGCAGAGGACCAATTTTGGTGAAATCCATGCTGTTCCTGAGTGAGAAATTGTGAATCACTAGGTACATCATGAGTAAGTCAGTGACAATGGACTCCATGATCTTGGAGATCACCGGAAGTAGTGTTATCGGGCGATAATTTGGCGGTCGTGCACAGGTACCACTTTGTAGATTGGAGTGATGATTTCGTGCTTCTACTTGGTGGAAACCTAGAACTAGTTAAGACATTGTCGAAAGAATATTGCTTATCGTTAAGCGAAACTCATGACAGCCAAATTCAACGCCTTTAGGCGAGTGCCGTCTGAATCAGAGGATCTGCACACGCGCGGTGACCCACGCAATGTAGATAATTACGGGCTGATTTGACTCACCTTTGTTTTGGCGAAGGTATTCGAGATTGTGAAAAATGGTTTTTTCCAGCTGCTGGAGTCGAAAGATCTCCAACGCCGGCACAGCACGGTTTCATGAAGGATCGCTCATGCATCACCAACTTGCTGTTGACGCGGCAGAAATGGTTACAAGCGTTCAACCGAGGGAAATCAGTGGATGTTATCTACAGTGATTTCAGTAAAGCTTACGATAAAGTAAATCATAAAGTACTGCTCCACAAACTGAGGACGTGTGGTGTTGGTGGCGTACTGCACCAGTGGGTCAGTGACTTCCTTATTGGGAGATGATGGGTACATGTGGATAAACACTTAACAGACTGGTACCCCTCCACTAGCGGTGTAATCCAAGGCACAGTGCTGGGGACTATTTTACTCCTGATCCACATAAAGGAAGTGATTCAGTTTTTCGACCACCTTGTGCACTGTTTGCAGATAACTTCAAGATTTGGAAGGTGATTGATTCTCCCGACGACTGTGACGTCCTTCAGCAGGACCTCGATCTACTGGTCAAACCGGCCAATTCCTCGTTTATGAGGCTGGGGATTGGTGGTAATGAGTGTGCGTACACCCTAGCCGGCCAAACGCTGCATCTCACCAGTTCCGTAAAGGATCTAGACATACGCTCACGCTGGGAACTGAAGTCTGTCCACAAGATGAACAGACTGTACGTAAAAGGACTACACCTGCTTTGAGCACTTAGATGCAGCTTCTGCACTTGGTATGAAGAGATTGCCGCCCGTCTGTTCTCTACCAAAATAAGACCGGTGCTTGAGTACGACTCACCCGCCTATTGCCCGATCACAATGGGTAAGGTGAAGAGAATGGAACGAGTCCAGCATGCAGCGACCCGACTTATCCCCAGTTTACGGGGTATGTCGTACGAGGACCGATGTAAGTGACTAGAGCTGTATACCCCGTCATATCGTCGGCTTCGAGTTGATCTCATTATGACGCACCGGATACTGCGCATGGGTCACTGCGCTATGTGGAGGCCGCCGCTGCACGTTCGCGCATCAAGCAGCACATGCTGACACCGGTACAAACTAGTGGTACCGGATATAAAGCTCATCGCCCACTCTTTATGCATCCAGCGGTGAAATATTGAAACAAGTGTCCGAAGACGCTAGTCGAGGTGAAATCGGTGTCGGAATTTAAGGGATTCCTCGACGCCCGCTTTGCGAAATACAGGTATAGGGAGCGTAACACACTGGGATAAGATGTAGTGCAGCTGTAATATGCTGCCACCGCGCAGGAAGCAGTGACGTGACTCCGCACAAGTGCCAGATCCACCTACGATGGAGCAACACAGGTTTTTATCTTCTTGCCCTCTATGCTCAGGATTTAGGGGTCCGAGGAAGGCGCACCACTGAGGTGACCCTGAAGGTCGAAACAACGCCGTCTGATGCTTTTCCACACGTGCCAACGCCTGCTGACAGTGTGGACTGTGATGAATTACCTCTGAATTATCCCAAAATCTCCACTACTCATTAGGGTATCTGTGGTTGTAGAAGATATGTGGTTAAACATTGATGGCAGTATGATCAGTTTAGGCAGGATGTAAGATGATTGTACACTTTAGAAGATACGGCAAACTTTTTGTCCAAGAACAATGGACACCTCTTTTACAGTTTGTGCTAACCCGCAAGCTGTAGGCAGAGCAGGAATTCCGCGCTTAACCCTGCGAAGTTTGTTCACGTGTCTGCAAAGTAGCTTGGGGTAAAAACAAGGCAAGTTTGACGCAGTGGTTCATTTGAGTTGTATAGACATCTTAGGTGTCCTCGCTGGGAGAGGCTACGATGGCGAGCCAAACCATCCATCAATGCCATGCTTTTACGAGTCCTGCTCCTTAGGAACGACTTTAATTTTTTCGAGCAGTAGATTTTGATTTCTTATGTGTTTACCATTAGTCTGTTGAATGTGTTGAAAAATTCCCCCAGGACACCTTAGAGACCAACCGGCTAAGAAAGACCTATTTGTTGCACCAATGACGTCGGACAGATAATGATGGTTGGACACGTTGTGAGATTCCTCGGTGCTATCTTTAAGACATGCTGCGTCCGGCTGAGTCCAGCTGCGACCAATCTTCTCCAAAACACAAGGAATCCCCTGCAAATCAATATTCACCAGTAATCACCTTAGCAGCTTATAAGCCACCTAGATTGGTGGCGGCTTGCAAAGGAAGTCGTAGCTCTGGTGGTCAGCCCTGTCTTTTGCACTTTAATAGCAAACACGACGGCGAAAAATGCGTCGCACTAAACTGCAGTCAGGGATCAGTCATGGCGGTCCGCCACCGCCACCCATGGCAAAGTGGCATAGGTCAATGGCTCGTAAGTACAAGGACTCGAATCCGGCAAGACGGGGGTGCGCACTACTGAGGATTTCAAATAGAAGACCGCTGTCCAGAGGCAGACAGAACCGTAAGCAGTACGCCGGTACACAGTAACGACGCTTTGCTGCCGCGCAATCATCGCCGATCGAAAGGGCTAAGCATACTGCGAGGATCGCCCTGCTCCTACGCAGGATCGAACCCGCGGCGTCAGACTAAAAGACAAGCTGGTTACGTATAGACTACGGGCCGGCTGTGTACAGCTTACCTGGATGTGTGGTGGCTGTCTGGCTGAGTCATGCCGCGAGGAATGCCATAATATGTCAGAGTTAAAGGAAAAACTGATCAAAGACAAAACATTGCAAAACCTGAAACAATGGGAATCCTGGCTAAACAGACCAGTTCAGTCCACATCATTTGCTATCCAAGCTCAGTTCACCATAATCAAGCAGAAAGAAGACATAGATTGCGATATGTCAACATCTCGCTTGTTCTCCTCAGTCGGACACACAATACAAGCAGAAACACACACATTTATGCGTGGGAAAAATCGGCACATCAAGCAAAACGTCGAAACCAAGACCAAGACAATCTAACTGATTGTCTCAAGAGTTTCTGTGCGCATAGCACAGGTTGATAGGCCCCAGTTAGCAACCCTTCACTGATTGCGAACATTATCGGGTTCCGGTTGCGTAATAGCCCTTTAAACACAGTCTTCGGGTCCACATTGTAACCAGTTGTCACGAGGTGCTTGGTGATAGATGAGGACGGAATCCGGTTCAATCTGGGGGACGCTCCGGTTTGCTGCGTCATCATTTGTTTCACCCACTTTGGCAAGTGTTCAGCCACCCTCTGAGCCAACCGACGATTAGTCCTGTCTATGCAAACGTCACTGCAACTGCAGGTGAACTGATAAGCTACATGAGAGGCCGAGCTAGCCGAAGTGTAGCTCTGACGGTCATGAAGAACAAGTTTCTGCGTAGTGTGCATGAGGCGCACCTGGGGAGTCGTGCACGTGCGCGTTAGAACGGATCTGAGCTCGTGTCTGATGTCATTTGGCACATGGTCTCCCTTGAAAGGCAGAAACAGATAAACTGCTTTTTTCTCTGCTTTTAGCACCGGCAATCTCTTTTTGGAGAGTCTGCTGTGCACTCGGATAAACTTTTTAGAGTAACCATTCGATAACAAGGTCCTACGCAGAAACTTCTCTTCAGCTTTCAGCGTATCCGGACTCCAAATTCGTCTGGCCCTGTAGAACAGCGTTTTCACTAGGCCGCCTCTGTATGCAACCGGGG